ATTGGGAGGTGGTTTTCAATGGAGTTGATGGATATGAGGTGAAAAAGGGAAGGTTTCAGTTCAAAGTCAATTTAGATTTGAGGACTTATTCGTGTAGAATGTGGCAGTTGACTGGTTTGCCATGTTCTCATTCCGTTTGTGCAATCTTTCATAAGGGGGATCAGCCAGATCAGTACATACATATATGTTACAGTAAAGAGATGTACATGAGGACATATGAGCATGTAATACAACCCATGAATGGAGAACAATTTTGGCCAAGGACTGAAGGTGATGAGTTACAGGCTCCAGTTCCAAGGAAGATGACTGGCAAGCCCAAGAAAAAAAGAAAGCTTGAACATGATGAAAAGAACAAGGACAAAAACAAAATGAGTGAAGAAGTTAGAAAGTTGTCAAGGAAGGGAAGGATAATGACATGTCAGTTATGCAAGGAGAAGGGGCACAACAAACGATATTGTCCTACCCAACAAGAACAAGTTGTCAGAGGAAGAGGTAGAGGTAGAGGAAGGGCTGCTGGAAGTGGTGGAAGGGCTGCTGGAAGTGGTGGAAGAGATGCTGCTAATGTTGATAGTGGCTTGTTATCTCAAGAAAGCTACATTGGAATGTCAGGTAATGATACAAAAGTTTATTTATATTTTTCCTAGAAGTGTTAGATTATGATACTAATATTTTGTTTTTGTTTATGCTTGTAGAGTGCACAGAAAATTGAAGACATCAAGTGACTGTTTTGGCAAGATAAAGTGAATGGAGAATGACTATTTTGAAGACATCAAGTGACTGTTTTGGCAAGATAAAGTGAATGCTTAATGACTATTTTGAAGACATCCATTGACTCTTTTGGCAAGATAAAGACATCAATAGACTGTTTTGGCTTATGTATTATATGTAAATCTAACTTATTGGCTTATGTAATTGCCAATGTAGTATGACTTATGTAATCAGCTAGTTTTATAAACTTGGTTCAATAGCTGCACATTCTCTGTAAAATACAGTCATTGATTTTAGTTGATTGTTCTCCATAGCCATTTAAGTGGTGGTTTCAAGTCACTTTGTTATCCATAGCCCTTTGATGTGGTTAACTTGCCTGAAGGTGTTCATTATTTAACTATTTTAGATGGGGCATGATTGTTACAGTTAGTTGTTGATATGGTTAACATGCTACAGCTGATTGTTGATTAAGGCAGGAAACTTGAATTGGTGGACTGAAATCTGTCATCTGTAATCTATTCAAGAAGCATTGATCCATGAAGCTTAAAACTGGAATCTGGAATCTATAAACTGGAATTGCAATCTGTAATCTATAAACTGGAATTCAATGCAAGCTTAAAACTGGAAATTCAATGCAAGCTTAAAACTGGAAATTCAAATTCAAAACTGGAAACTTAAATTGCAAAATACCATTTTTTCATTACAATGCCAAACCATTACAATTTATAACTAAAAATTTTTGCTAGAAGCACCACAATTACAACTAGGAGAACAACACACTTGATCCTCAACACTTCGTTTTCTTTTTTCATACCACAATACTCATTTACAATTAATTCTTTAACAATTTCGATTTCACTCCTCAAAGACCCCACCATCTTCTTTAGGTCTTCATGCTCATCTCCACTCCTCCTTGCATTGTGATCCTTCCAAAGGAAGAAGCCACAACCATTGCCATCCTATACAACTCAATTAAACAAATTACCCATAAAAAAAGTAAAAAATTACAAAAATCAACAACCAAATAAAATACCCAAAAAATGACGAACCCTAGCTTTATTAAACTCAAAATTCATACAAAATTTCAATAAATACATACCTTCCATCTTTGACACCCAAAGAATTGCTTTCCCGATTCTCTACTTGTGCAAATTGGAGCTTTCAATCCACAATTACAATATACACTTGGCTCGTACTCCATGTTTACTCTAACCCGTGATGAAGTTGAAGAAGATGACATCTTGGAGATCTCTGGCTTATCGTCGGAAAACCTAGGGCTGCGAAGGGGAGAAGATGTGTATGTCGTCTACAAGGGCTGCAATAGGGAGAAGATGAATACATTATAAATAAGCCAAATTCGAAACAAATATTTTAATCAGCTGCCACGTCAATTTTAACCGGAGCCATGTCATCTAGGTAACAGGGTAACCTGTAAAAAATGCTAGGTGAACAAATTTTTTTGGTTTGAGAATCGAATAAACACTTATATAAGTTTAGGGTGCGGGATGACATTTCGTAGTTGGTTCATGGTGCTATTTGGCACTTGAGCCTTTTTTTTTTTTAATTTACTTGGAAGGGGGATACCCAAAACATACAACAGAGAGATTGGCTTTATTACAGCCCAACATGACGCCAAGTTGGTAGTTCTGCAGAATCACTATCTAAATTGGCCAGAATTGATTGGGGGGGGGGGATTATCCAACACATGAATGCCTCTTGGGAAATTATTCGCAAGTTTGGCTAACCCATCCGCAGCTTGGTTCTGTTCCCGAGCAATGGTATGAAGTTCCCAGCTTTCAATGTTCCGCAGCTCCTTTTTACATCCTTCAAGCACATTGTGAGCACTCGTTGATGGCGTTATGGAGGTCGTCATGTAGTCCACCAGCATGGCCGAATCTGATTCGAAAGTCGCCTTGTTGTAACCCCTTCGAATTGTTAGTTGAATACCCTTTTGGAGTGCCCATGCTTCCGCTTCGAATGGGGTGCAATTACCCATATTAAACACAAACCCCTGCTTCCAATCTCCTTTGCAGTCCCGGATGAGTCCAGCGCAGAATGCGTTGTTTGACAAGGGATTAACAGAGCCGTCGACATTGATCTTGACAATTCCTTCCTTAGGCTTAGACCACGATAGCATTTTCCATGCGTCTGAGCTTCCTGTCGGGTAATGACCCATGGCTCTATCAAATGATGAAATTATTTCCTTAGTTTGAGTCTTGATCCAGAAGTCCTTGTGTTGTAATGGTCTGTTTATCCCGTTAAAGACTCTCTCATTTCTCCACTTCCATATCCACCACAAGGTTGTGCGAATAAGATGTTGTTGTAGCTTGGTGCATTCCTTTTGCTTCTGTCCACAATCCCTTCATCGAACCACATCTGAAATGTAGCATTCCTTGAATTATCGTAGAAGGGACGAGATACTGCTCTCCATACGTTCGTTGCTGCCGGGCAGGTCCGGAGAACATGCTCGATGTCCTCCACCAAACTGCCACAAAGGTCGCACTTATCACAGTCTGTTAGTCCTCGCTTAGCTCTATTGCTGTTGCACATTATCCTTCCCTGTCTCACAAGCCAAAGAAACATCCCAATGCGATTGGGCACCCTTAGTTTCCAGATGTTGTTCCATTTGGCTGCTTCGACTGGCTCTGATTCTCCCGTAGCAATGTTGTATGCCGACGCGACCGAGAATTCCCCAGAAGCCTCCAATCTCCAAGCGATCCTATCATTCACCTCTGGATCCTCATGGATGAATAAGAGGGCCAGTTTGCTTAATGCTTCTGTGGGCAGAATATGAATTAGCTCATCCCAAGCCCAACTCGAATTTGGATTCCAATAGCTGGAGACGAGACGGTTACGTTCAGCAGGGGGGATCGTCATTAAAGCAATCTCCGAAAGGGGAGCGTCGTCGAGCCACGCATCATGCCAGAATAGAGTGTTATGACCATTGACAACATGTCTTCTAACTCCCGCCAATAGCACAGGGACCGACTTCAGAATGCCCCTCATCGCATTGGACATGTTCCTCTTGGCTTGCCATGATCTGCAATCATTTTATTTGAGATATGTAATAATTTTTATGAATTTATAAAAGAGTATTATATTTTATTTAAAAAATTATTACATGTTACACGTTGGACGATTGCACACAACAACAATACCAAAAAAAATGGCCAAATTCACCACATAAGTCAAATGGATGTTACAATTTAATCCCCTAAGAAAAAAAAAAACCATCATTCAAACCCATTAAATTAGTAAAATTGTTAAATTGAAACCCAAAACAACCTATTTAGCATGTTAGTTATTATCGTGACACGATCGAGTCTTTTTAATTTTATTTTAATTATATTTATTTTCATTTTTTATTAGAAAATTTGTTTTAAAAAATACAATCATCAACTTCAAACAATCATAACTATTTCAGATGAGGTCCAAATCTGGACAATATGAAACTATGCCCTCGTTTCAGATTCTCAAAGATGAGATAAAAGTTATGAAATGAAAGCGGCGACGATGCCACCGTGATTTCAGACCCTCTCTATCACCTTTGAAAAGAGAGCAGCAGTCATGGCCACCACCCTTATTCTAGATTGTCTAGGTCTAGAACTCATCTTTGAGGTCTAGATTGGGAGCGGACATGGCTATCTGGCGAGATAGCCATAGTTGTTTCCGTCGGAGTTGTCCATGAGACAACCACTGACAATCAAAGTCAATAGTTGTATTTTTAAATAAAAAAAAAATTAAAAACAAAACTAATTTTTTTTAAAAAAAAAAATAGTTATGTGTTAGCATGAGAGTAAGTAACTTGCTAAACAGAGGGGGGGGGGGGGGTCAAACTTGTGTGGGTATGTCTCACTGATCCTTATCCGTGCGACAGGTCGGGTCAAGTCTAATAAACATGGAAATGTCTTATATGCTCAAATGTAATACTAGTCAGGAATACAATGTTTGTTACTTATAAGAAAAAATGTAATACTTTTACATTTTGATGTGAAAATATTATATTTTCCCTAAAATAATGTTAGCGAGTGTTTGTTACTTATAAGGGAATATATAATACTTTTGAAGAAAAATGAAATACTTTTAAATCAAATGTAAAAGTATTACATTTTTCCACATAAGTAATAAACACTTTATTAATAATTAGTACTGAATATTACATTTGTGTGTATAAGTATTATATTTTCATATTAACCCCGATGAAATAGTCTCACACAAGTTTTTACTTTGAAAATGGTACTTTTTTTTTCAGAAAAAAAAAAAAAGAAGAAAACAGCACTTAGCTACTCAACTACTCAAGTACTCACACATTCTCACCTACTCAAAAAGCACCACTGAAATTCTACTCTCCCCAAACATATTGGAATCATAATTCATAAGCATTCACTTTCACTTTCAGTGGATTCATGCTCAAATGAAAAAAGCCCCCCACTGAAATCATTCACACAATCACACTACCCTACTAACATATGGAGAACATCGGAGTGCTGATGGCGTGCCCTATGAACGCCTACCTGGAACACCAACTCCACAACCGATTCAATCTCCTCCGCTTCTGGAACTTTCCCGACTCCGACGCTTTCTTCGCCCAGATTAACGCCGCCTCTGTCCGCGCCCTTGTCGTCAACGCCTTCGTCGGAGCCGATCTCCTCGACGTCTTCATCGACCGCCTCCCCAATCTGGAAATCCTGTCCACATACAGCGTCGGCTTGGATAAGGTGGACCTGGCCAAGTGCAAGGAGAAGGGGATTAGGGTTACCAACACCCCCGACGTCCTCACCGATGACGTAGCCGACATCGCCATCGGGTTGATCCTCGCCGTGCTGAGGAAGATCTCCGAAGGCGATAGATTCGTGAAGAAAGGATTGTGGAAAATGGCTCACTTCCAGTTCCAATTCACTTCACAGGTTCCAATCTCATCTCCGATCCTCAATGCTTTCTTATATGAAATTTACAGAATCTCGAACAAATCGCTATTCTATTTTGCAGTTTAGCGGTAAATCCGTTGGGATAATAGGATTAGGAAGGATAGGTTTAGCGATTGCAAAGAGAGCAGAGGCGTTTAACTGCGCAATAAGTTACCACTCCAGATCACAAAAACTCAACACAAATTACAAATACTATCCTACTGTAATCGAGTTAGCATCTAATTGCCAGATATTAGTAGTCGCGTGCGCCTTGACTCCGGAGACTCACCACATCATCAACCGCCAAGTTATCGATTCGTTGGGGCCTAATGGAGTGGTGATCAATATCGCTAGGGGCGGTCATGTAGATGAGGCGGAGCTGATATCCGCTCTGGTGGAAGGGCGGTTGGGAGGTGCCGGACTTGATGTGTTTGAAGATGAGCCGGAAGTGAATGAGGAGCTATTTGGGATTGATAATGTGGTGTTGCTGCCGCACCACGGTTGCGCCACCGTGGAGACACGCAACGCCATGGCTGACCTGGTGGTTCGGAACTTGGAAGCTCATTTTATGAATAAGCCGTTGTTAACTCGGGTAGTTTGAATTGGTTATCTAGTCATCATCTTTTAGTGGTTTGGTTTTTTAACTTTGCCATCTTGATATGCTCAAGATTTGGATTAGAAGACACATAAAATGATTATTTTGTATCCAACTAAAATTTATTATTAACCATTTCTAATTGAATTCAAAGAAAGGGTTCAATTTTGTGATCACCAATTTAAAATGGTAATATATATTTCATCACACTACATAATAGTTGTTATATCCAATTTAAAATTCAATTTTTTTTTTAAAGAGATTAATACAGAGAATACTTTAATTATATATATGTTTTTTTTAGTACTACTGTAATATCTGTTCATAGCTATATTCTCAACTTATTGAAGCACAAAATTTAATACCGCCTTCACTTGAGCTCAAAAACATAATCTTTCATTTGAGAAAGCCACTTCATGCTTCATTGACAATTATATATATTTTTGTAATTTAAAAGAAATGAAAAACTGAAATATTAAAATAAATTGAGTTAATACCCAAAAGCGTCCTCGACTATAGTGGTTTTTCTCAATTTCGTCCTAAACGACTTTGGTGACCTAATATCGTCCCAGACTTTTATTTTTCGCTCAATTTAGTCCCAGACTTTTGTGTTTTTGCTCAATTTAGTCCCTCATTTGTTATTCTGTCCATTTGGTGTTAAATAAATACACAATTCAGTAATTTTAATATTGACATCTCTTTACTCATAGACATGTAAACTGCGAAATCCTTTTTTTTTTACAAATTACCCCCAGAATTACTCCTAAAACTGCGAATATAAAATTTGATTTGCAGGTTCGGGAGTAATTCTGGGTGTAATTCGTAAAGAAATAGAATTATATTGAACTTGATTCAAGTTTAACCTTCAATATTTGAATCAAATTAATTTGATGAGTGACGGGTAAATTTACCGTTATTATTAAAATTATTATGTCCTTTGATTTTAATTGATAAATGACATAAATCAATTTAGATTATTTAAATATAATTGATTCAAACAAAAAAAATCAATAACTGCTTTTCAAAATTGTAACAGTATGATTATTAAATGTTTAAACAGTTTGATTAGAGTTGTCAAATAAATTAAAATTTTAACATTTTAAGATTATGCTTGTGACTTTTGTTGGTAAATAACATAAATTAATTTAGGTTGTCATCAATCCTCTAAACAATTTGATTAGAGTTGCCAAATTAAATTAAAATTTTAATATTTTAAGATCGGCTGGATTCGATTACACCCTTAAGCCTCACAGGTCACAACGGACGCCGGCAGGCTTTATCGAGCAAGAATGGAGGAAATAGGGGTACTGTTACTCAGACCACTCTCCAGCTACTTACAACAAGAGATTTCCAAACGTTTCACTCTCTTCAAATTCTGGGAACCCCCCTTTCACTCCAACCCTAAGCTCCTGAAGCACCACTCCTCCTCCTCCATCCGAGCCGTGGTCGGAGACGGCGTCCGGGGAGCAGACTCGGAGATGATCGACTTGCTCGCCAGACTCGAAATCGTTGCGAGCCACAGCTCCGGACTGGACAAGACCGATTTGGTGAAGTGCAAGGAGAAGGGCATTCGAGTCACGTTCACTCCCTACGCCTCTACCGATGAAGTCGCCGATTTGGCGATTCTGCTCACGCTGGCCACGCTCAGAAGGATTTGCCATGCCGATCGATTCATCAGGACTGGAATGTGGAAGAAACAGGATTTCGGATTGTCTTCAAAGGTACCATCTAGAACTTAGAAGGATGCGTTATTTAAGCAAATACTTTTGGCCTTTTCTTTGCTGTCTATACCAAATTAAACAATGTTTTTTTGAATCGTAGTCACTATAATGTGTGAATTGGATAAATCCACTTTTATGACTTTTATGATCTTGGTCTGCTAAATCAGTCTAAATTGGTCAACTGGCTTAAATTAAGATGATAGGCCTGTTTGGTAAATCGCTGTTAGCTGTGTAAGTTGATTGGGTTAATTTGAGGGTATAACTAGTTGATAACATTAACTGATTGTAGAAATGTGTTTGGTAAATTAGTTGTTAGCTGATAGTTGTTGGTATAATTTCCCTTTTTGAATTTTAACATTTTGGAGTTACAAAAAACTAATTAACCAAACACTTATATTGATTTTTTAACCAAATCAAAAAATTAATAGTGGTCAAATAAGTCAAAATTAGCCTATAGACTAACTATTTTACCAAACAGGGCCTAAGTCAATAACCTGACCAACTTAATTGAGTTGCTTCATTAAACAATGCTTTTTTTTGGATGACAATGGAAACCCTACAATCCTTTCGGGAGCTGATAAAGGAAGTAAATCAGCCTAGCCTAGGTTATCCATAGCTGACCGATTCAAATTAATGGGGAAAAAGTTTGAACTTGTGACTTCGTGGTTACAAGTGTGGATGTCTTGCCACCTGGAGTGGTATTACTCTTAACAATGTTTTTTGTTTCAACTAAAAGTCGAAACTAATAGTATGATATATGCTTCCAAGAGAGCTGACTTCTTGTTTTTCATTGGTTTCAATGATTGGTTTGTTGTTGTAGTTTAGTGGCAAAAGTGTGGGTATTGTGGGATTAGGAAGGATTGGGTCAGCCATAGCCAGGAGAGCTGAAGCTTTTGGATGTCCAATCAGTTACACATCAAGGTCAAAGAAACTGGACTCAAACTACACATACTATCCTGGAGTCATTGACTTAGCATCCAACTGCCAAATCCTCATAGTTGCTTGTGCCTTGACCACTGAAACTCGCCACATTGTGAACCGTGGAGTGATGGATGCATTGGGTCCAAATGGCATTGTCATTAATGTTGGAAGGGGTCCTCACATTGATGAAGAGGAGTTGGTTTCTGCCCTTGTTGAGGGCAGGTTAGGGGGAGCTGGGCTTGATGTTCTTGAACACGAACCTCAAGTCCCACACAGATTGGTTGAGCTTCAAAACGTCGTCCTCTCGCCGCATGTGGGAGCCTGCACCGTGGACACACGCGTCGCCATGGCTGACATTGTTGTCGCAAATTTAGTAGCACACTTCTCCAATCAGCCGTTATTAACTCCTATCATCTAATTTTTCAAGGTAAGAGTATCTCTTCTATACTTTCTCTATCTGTTGCAGTTCAAAGAGTTAATACCCTCACCACTGGAGTTCGATTATGTGACCTTCATTCAAAAAGAACCACAGGGGTTCGATTATGTGACCTTCATTCAAGAAGAGTCACAAAGTGACAGACTTGAACTGCTTGGCTTCAACCCTCATTTTTAGTTCAACTATTGTCTTACTCATCTAAATAAATATACTCCGTATAAACGTATTTTTCATTTTTGCTCCGTGACTATTCCATTTGTAATATTTTGATGAAATAGAAAGATAGCACATGCATTTTCACATTTTGTTCTTTGAAAGTACTATTTATCAATGTTGCAGAAGGCATTAGCGCTAGTTTTGCGCCCGAGGGGAGCCTAGGCGTCTTTTAGGCGTTAGAGTAATTTGAGTATATCGTCTCTAATTTTTTTACTCAAGGTTGTGAGTTGTTAGACAACTATAATCCTACAAACTAGTCAACTACATATGTTAGATGGTCAATTGAGTACATAGCTGAAGGAATATAGAAAATGAGAAACCGAACAGACAAAAAATACCACTCGGCCGAGTTGAGCACTGACTCAGCCTAGTTGGGCGCCAACTAGGCGAAGTTAGGTGCCCAATTCAACCACTAGGCCGCCTAGTAAGCCAACCAACTAAAAACCACCTAAGACTAAGATCGCCTAGACAGAATATTTACAACACTACTATTTACTTTAGTATTATTTTGTGAAAAAATTAAGCACTATTTAGCTAAGTAGTACTATTTTGTGAAAAAATTGACAGTAATTGAGTTCCACTGAACCAAACAACTAGTAAATTTTGGTTGTAAAAAATCATCACCAGAAGTGAAAAGAAAATGTACCAAAGAATGACAAAAGTGAATTTCGAGCCAAATGTCACCAATCCTCCTCAAATGTTGGAACCCAGTGTGAAAGGCTTCTGCAGCATGTGGGATTTTGGATGACTTTTAGAATTAAGAGGGGATATAAAGCAAGGCCCCAAAATTGAGTCAGCTCATCAGCATTCACATCCTGTTGATCTGTGTAGATGCCCACCACCAATATCAATGGTGTCCGGCAGATATCTATCAGACACCAAAAATTGAACCATTCAGTCATTTTGAGTTAAGGTTGACTGCAACTATGCAACTGGGGCTAATTTCAATATGATATTAATTGACACATCACATCACAATATTTTTAATGCTATAAAGTATAAAGTATTTGAGCTAGCCATACAACCCCGCTGGATTTATCCCTGCAATTCTCCCCCATTCAAGATGAGATGATTTTTTTTTAAAAAAATTTTAAAGGGTTTAGGGTGCCAGCTTGGCTTGAAAGCTTTTACTTGTTAGAGCATCTTCAACAGTTGTGGTTTTTAAGCGGTTTTTGCAGGTCTGATTAGGAAAGAGAAGATGGGAGGGGAGAGAAAAAGAAAAAAAAAGGTAAAAACCAAAAAAAAAAAAAAACAGTGAAACATCAGTAACGCGACTGCACGTACCCAGTTTGGCGTTAGGTTGCGCTTCACGCGACCAAGGCCCAAAAATCAGAGCATCTAGTGGGTCCCCCAAGTCTGACAAAAACCAAGTGCTTGCAAGAAGGTTTTTTTCTCTCTCATCCACCTAAGCTATGTTTTCTTAAAAACCCCACCAAAAATTACTGATCGGATGCTCTTAAGTGCACTATAATTTCATACTATGTATCATAATTATTTTTAACGCGATACTTTCCTATGTAATAAAGATAACAAGAGTGAGGAAGCTTACACTTCTTCTTCTGGTTCATTCTTGAGAGCATTTTTGGCTATACATTGGAAAGCTGCATCCACATTAAACCCTTCCTTAGCAGATGTCTCAAAGTAAGGTATGTTTCCCTTGGAAGCACACCATGCCTTGGCTTTCTTCTCAGGAATCTGCAATATATTGTCAGATTTTGAGCAAAAGAGACTAGGCAGAGATACATAAAGAAAACCAACAGTTTTCGTTAATTTACAACTCTTCAAACTATAAGAAACTTACCACCCGACTATTGCCACCATCAACATCTATCTTATTCCCCAAAACAACAAAGGGGAAGTTCTCAGGATCAGAGGGACTGGCCTGGCATTAATAAAAGTACTCATCACCAACTACATTGCACATATGTAAAACGAAATTCTGGCAATTCACGGAGAAATCTGTGACCTGGATAAGAAATTCTTCCCGCCAGTTGGATAAATTCTCAAAAGATTTCATGATGTTGACATCATATACCAGAACACAGCAATCTGCTCCTCGGTAAAAAGCCACACCAAGACTTTGGAACCGTTCCTGTCCAGCCGTATCCCATATCTAAGGACACAATGATCAAAACTCACAATTCACAATTACTAAGGTCTAAAGTGTATCGGAATAATGGGATACTGAAGAGTTAAAGTCAGGGTTCAACCCCAACAAACACCACCAAGCGGATAAACAAACTTCAAATCACCAATAAGGAAGAGAAGAAATTGTTATTCGTTTTCAGCCTATTTAAACCTAACCTGCAATGTGTACATCCTATCATCAAAATGAACTTCTTTTGTCAGGAAATCCGCTCCAATGGTAGCTTTGTATTGATTGCTGAACTTGCGATTCACATACCTGAAAGCATAAGAATAAAAGATGCATTACTTGAAGGACCAAAAGCAAAGGGCAATTCCAAGTCACAATTCAAAAAGAGTAAGTCTGAAATTACTGGTTCATCAGTGACGTCTTTCCAACCCTATCAAAATAAGCAAACCACACTGATTCAAGTTAGTTATAAACCAAAAGTAGGAAAACTAATAAATTGGCTTAGCTATTAGCACTGCTTTCGCAATATGTTGACAGCCATAATCCATTTGGTTAGATTCACAATTTCTTTGGTGAATTCAGATTTGCAGTGCATAAAAGTTTCATTTGCAAAATTTTACTAATTGAAAGTTCACAGTTACGCAGAACAACAATGTGTAATGTTTATTTCATATAAAATGACAATATTTTATCAACTTATCCATTTTTCAAATGCATAACTATTAACTACTAAATAGAAAAGAAAAAGAGCATCTGTTTCAATTTTCAAACTTTCAATTACTTACGTTTTTTTTTTGAAAGCCAACACAACGAAATAATATATTAATAAAAAAAGTAATGAATACACAAAGGGGGGTCAAAATCCCAAACTAAAATGCCCCTATCAGAATCAACTGTTGTGGTCAAAGTATGAGCCAAACAGTTAGCTTACCGATAAAAAGAATGGAGCAAGACTCGATGGAACCTAAGAGTTTTAGACAATCACTCAAGACAAAGCCGAAATACGAGAAGGGTATGGCTTTTATAGCTAAAGCTTGGACCAGAACTTGACAATCCATATCAATACGAATATCCCTGAGGCCCTTTTCAGCGATCCAATTGAGAGCTATCTTGCACACATGTGCTTCCGCTAGAAGAGGGTTAGTATCACAACACAAAGGGTAGAATTCCGAATACAAAAACTGTACGTAGCCCTTCCTGTCGCCACCACCACCGACGCATCTACATTACAAGAGGCTGGACCCAAGCCTCTTGTTGCCAAACACCAACATTCCAAAGCAGCTGAAGCATTCTTTACAATCACTGCTGAAGTGGGGACCATTTTATCAAAGCAAGCTTTGTTCCTTGCCAACCATATCCCATGCAAAATGGCTATAATAAATTCCAGGCTGTTCAAACGTTCATTCTGCATGATGCAGTTCAGCCAGACGGATAGTGAAGCTTAATTCGCGTGAAGCTAGGAGGGGGAATAGCAGCAGCATGCCAAACTCGTGAAGCCAGGCTGCATGAAATAAAAATATGATGGGTGGTCTCCTCACACGTTCTACAAAAGGGGCACAAATCCTCAACCTCCCCTCTCTTCAGGATAAGAGAAGATGTAGTAGGAAGGATGTCTCCATTTGGAGAATTTTCAAGTTCCATAGCTTATTCAGTAAAGAAATTCATGAGTGTAATTAGTTTCCCTAACTAGAGCCTGTAACCAAGTAATCTTCAGTCCAGAGAGATAGGTTTATATAATTTTCCTCAAAAAATAAAATAAAAAATTCATTAAAATTTAATTCTTATTTCTGGGTGGTTGGGGGAGTCTGGATCATAGGCATAGAAGCACAAGCACATGAGAACCAGAGATGGTAAAATACAGAAAAAATTTGAAATCAATTCAATTGATAATTATGAAATGCTAATCGTTTTCCAATCCGAAATCAATAGCAATACGCATTGCATTCATTGAAATCCAACAATTGGGAAGTTGGTTTTGCAATGATTAGTGAATTCACTTATCAAATTTGCAGTTCTAGGCTCAGAAAACAAATCATTGAAATTTTGAAAGAAAGAAAGAAGAGGAAATACCCGCTATCACCGAGGATTATGACCTTGAGGAGCATACGCCTGCGAGACGCCATTGTTTCCCGCAATGGAGATGATCACCTGAAGTTCAGGGAGACAGCAGAAAAAAATGAAGGGACTATGACTCTTTTTTTTTTTTTATTATTTTTATGATTAAATAATGAGAAAAATATCATTTTTAGTCCTTCAATTATAATGTATGTGTAAGTTTTAGTCCTTAACTATTAAAATTTTTAATTTTGGTGCATGATTATTCAATTTGTATCACATTTGATCATTGACTATTAACATTTTCAAATTAAGTGCATGACTATTCAATTTGTATCACATTTGATCCTGTCGTTAAATTTTTCGGTCAAAATTCCGACTAAATCACTGATGACTGGCTAATTTATTTAATTTTTATTTTAAAAATTTTTAAATTAAAAAACTTAAAAATAAAAATAAAATAAAATAAATGCCCCCCACCCTCCTCCTTTGTCTCCGGTTGAGATGAAGGAGGAAGGGGTGGCCCGACGTTCTCTTTCTCCCCTTCATTCTTCATCTCCGACGAAGACAAAGGAAGAATGGAGAGAAGGAGAACGTCGGCCACCCCACCCCTTTCTTCCTTCGCTTCCGGCATAGACGAATGAGGAGGGGGTGAGGTTGCTATCATTTTAAAAAAAAAAAGAATTAAAAGTTTAATTTATAAATTATTAAAATAATTTTAAAATAAAAATTAAATAAATTAGCCCGTCACCGGTGACTTGGCTAGAATTTTTACCAAAAAATTTAATGGCAGGACCAAATATGATACAAGTTGAATAGTCATGCACCTAATTTAAAAATGTTAATAGTCAAGGACCAAATGTGATACAAATTGAATAGTTATGCACCAAAATTGAAAATTTTAATAGTCAAAGACTAAAACTGATACATGTATTATAGTCGAGAGATTAAAAGTGATATTTTGTCTTAAATAATTATGCTACACTTATTCTAATTCTCTACTTCTTTCCAATTTTGTTTTATATTTTCTAAAGAGCTTTACTTCATTTTTTTTTTTTTTAGTTTTATTATATTTTTCAATGAGTTTTTTGACTACTGAATTTTCTACATTTCGTGCATGCTTATCAAATTCTTGTCATATTTAGTCCTTTTGATATATTTTGTAGTTAATATTATTTTATTTTTGTTTTACATAAATACCATTTCAAATAAGTAACATAACTATTGTCTAAGAAATTCTAGTTAAAGTTGGTTGAAAATTTAACTGGAAGAACTAAATATAGCAAGAATTTAATAGCTAGTCAATAAATATCAAGGGTGTGTTTGGTTCGTACATGGGAATCAGAATCAAAATAGATAACAAATACTTGGCAATGATAATGAGTTTTAGTGAAAGTATTTTGCATGTTTGGTAGTAGGGTGGAATGAGAATGATTATCAATAATGTATTTGATTATAGGGAAAATTGTAAAAAATGCCCCTTTATAATATGTCAATTATCAATGTCACCCCTGAATTATGAGTGGTGTAAATGTTGCCCCTCAATTGTCAAAACGGTGCACATATAGCCCCTCTCGTAACAGACATGTGGTTCCCCGTTAGTGTACGACACCGTTAAGTCGAAGTAAATATGTAATTTAGTTATTTTTTCCCTCCCTCGATTCGAATTACTAGCGACGGACAGCAGTGAGGAACCACATGTCCATTACAGGAGGGGCTATAAGTGCACCATTTTGATAATTGAGGGGCAACATTTACACCACTTATAATTCAGGGGTGACATTGATAATTGGCATATTATAGAGGGGCATTATTTACAATTTTCCCTTGATTATATATGATCCTATAATAGGAATAAAGATTTTAAAAATACAAGAACACAAAATTAAGACAATTGATTTTAATATAAAGACATCCAAAACACCAATATGAACAAAAAAATTTAAAAAAAAAATTTAAAAGCACTAATCAAAGAGGATGAGATGGAATAAGGGAATGAAAATGGATGATACCCTTATTTTATTTGGGTATGGATTTTTCAATTAAGGTAGGTATTTGAAACTCATGATAGTGTTCTAAAATCCTATCAACCAACCAATAGCAATCACTTTGATACGCATCCCTTAGAGTTAAACCTGTCAACCAAACACACCCCAAATGTAAAATAAATAAAATAAAATTATTAGTTGGAAACAATATGTAGGGGACGACTATATTAGGGGTAAAATAAATAAAATAAAATTATTAGTTGGAAACAATATGTAGGGGACGACTATATTTATTAAGCTATTTTTCACAGGTTTACAAATAGAAAATAAGCTTATTTGTGTGCATGAGGGTTCATGTGAAAACATTTCATCTTGTAAAAAGTATAAACACATTCACATTTTCCATTTTGAAAAATCATAGGCTAAGATTACTAAACTTCTTGGTTTGTAATAATTATCAAATGAATCCTACTCTTAAAAAGTATTTAATAATTATAAAATTGATTCCGAATTTTTTTTAAGTAAAACACTCAAACAATATTTATGAATCATGATAGACGATTGAGATCACACATCGCTTTTTACCACAAGGGTATGCTCTCATTTGATCTTATTTATATAAGAGTCAATAATATATGTTTCTTGGCCTTATATCTAAAATCTAAAATTTAATAGGAGTCAATAATGTTAGTTCTTAACTATAATTTTTTGTTGTTGTTGTTGTTGTTGTTGTTGTTGTTGTACTTGGTAGTATATACTCCGTATAAGTTATATTAAGTGGTTGTTATTTGTGTTGTTCCTTTGCACTTTTTTTTCCTCAATTTTACGCTTCACATTTTTCGCTTGACATTTAGTGATATAAGTGACATTAAATATTTTTATTTGGTGATCTTTGGGTTAGGCCCCTAGTGAGGCTCAAACCATGACCTTTCATTTAAAAAAAAAAAAACTTCATGCCACTAGACCACAAGATTACTTGTGGAATCAAAATTGTCATTATGATAATATTCGTAGGACTGAAATTAACATTTACCCAATAAGATCTATGTTTATTTATTTATTTAATATTTTTTATCATTGAATTTTACTAATTTGTCTGTTATTCATTAGACATTATTCAATCTCACATGGTGCATATTTTCAACTAATATATTCATGAGAATAAGAAAATTGTTTTAATCGTAATACTAAGTTATATAAATATGCATGTATTCGTATATAACTTATAACTATAAATTTTCAATTAATTAAATATCCACAAATTATTCAAATCGAACCTCTACCACACCCGTTTATGAGGCAAGCTAGATACTCTTACCATTTTCCCAAGCTTGACTCCTTCTAGATATTGAAATTAAATTGGCTTAATTTGACGAAATTAGGACCATTTTCCCAAGCTTGACTCCTAGATATTGAAATTAAATTGGCTTAATTTGACGAAATTAGGAAAATTTGAGTTTAATAATGATAATGATAATGATAATGATAATGATAATGATAATAATAATAATAATAATAATAATAATAATAATAATAATAATACCAAGATTATATGGTCTAATGGTATCCGGATTGGACTTCCATTTGGACGGTTGCGAGTTCGAGCTTCAGTGGAGGTGTTATTGGTTCTTTGTGTTAATAATAACAACAATAAAAAATTCATAAATTTCAAACACTTTTTTAGCCAATTTGATTTGCTTGAAATTTGGTATTGTTATAGTCTTATATAGTAAAATCATCAAAATTATAGTGTAATTCTTTTGATGAGAATGTATGTAAAAGTATTGTATTCAATCATAATGTCTGAGATTATAGAGAGTGAATATATAGGTACTAGATAGAGTCATAGTCTAACACGAACAATATAGTCATAGTCTAATACGAATAATATAGTCCTAATACTCTCCCTCAAGCACAAGGTTGGGTAGCCAAAACATTGAGCTTGTCATGGAGAGAATTAAAACGCAGAGACGAAAGAGACTTTGTAAAGATATCCGCTAGTTGATCTTTGGTTGAAAAAAAGTGCACCTCTAACTCCTTTTTAGCTACTTTATAGCGAACAAAATGATAGTCGATCTCAATGTGCTTCGTGCGGGCATGAAACACTGGATTGGCACATAAGTAAGTAGCTCTCAAATTATCACACCATAGTCGAGGAGGAGACGCAGGAGGGATGCCGATTTCATGTAACAGGGAAACAAGCCATGTAACCTCTGCAGATACATCAGCTAGTCTCTTGTATTAATTCTGCTTCAGTTGAGGAACGTGCCACACTCTGTTGCTTCCGACAAACCCAAGATATAAGATTACTGTCCAAGAACACAGCAAAGCCACTAGTAGACTTGCGATCATTCGGATCGCCAGCCCAATCTGAGTCAGAATAGGCGTGAATATCCATAGATGTAGACCAAAAAATATGCAGACCAAGATTCATGGTTCCCTTTACATACCGCAAGACTCTTTTTAGAGAAGCCTAATCCGTAGTAGTGGGGGCATGCATGTGTTGACACAAGAGATTAATAGCATAAGATAAATCAGGACAAGTTACTGTAAGATACTGGAGAGCACCTGCAAGACTCCTGTATTGTGTATGATCGGCATAGGGAACGACAACATCGTCAGTGATTTTCGCAGAAGAGACGGATGTGACTACTGGCTTGCAGTCTACCATGCCGGCACGTTTGAGAATATCCTTAATGTACCGTTGTTGTGATAAAAGCATATCACCAGATAACGGGACAGTTTCAATACCCAAAAAGAAAGAAGGCACACCCATATCACGAACCTTAAACTCAAGGGCTAATTTATCAATAAGAGCAGTAACACGATCTGAGTCAGAACCCATAATCAAAATGTCATCAACATACACCAAGAAATAAAGACGAATATTGTCACGGGGAATAGATAAAGAGAGACACATCCGTCTTTGAAGGCGAGAAGCCCACAGAGACAAGAAAATCATGTAACCTTGTGAACAAAGCAAGCGGAGCCTGTTTGAGCCCGTATAGAGAATTTTTAAGCAAACACACATGATCAGTTAACGACTTGTCCTCATAACCAGGTGGTTGTCGCATGTAAACAATCTCAACTAGCTTGCTATTTAAAAAAGCGTTGTGAATATCCA